TGGCAACCTCTATAATGCGCGATCGTCATTCTCAATTTCTAAGCCATATCGTCGATCGTCGTTTCCCCGTAACAATACTTTACTTATTAGCATTTTTTGTATTCCATCTATCAACTTATCGATCCTTTGAAAAATTGTCGGTATCTCAAGTTATCAATCTCAGTACCTAGATAAACACCATCTTTTAGAACACGCATTATATAAATGCCAACACGTTTTTCTAAATAAATAAAAAAAATTGAAAATACAATTATTTAATTATATAATAATACGGATATAAGTTTACTTACTCTGAATATTGTATCCTGTTGCTTCAATTTCTGTAATAGTTGTTATTGATTTTGTACGTCCCACATTCTGAAAGTTTTAATAACATCACTACTAATTGATGATAGGATAATTCCGTCCACTTCACTCATTGTAGCTATTGATATAATTGGTGACGCTTCGTAATAAAAAGAAATAAAAAATTGATAATTAAATTGATATATACATGCTTGATTCGCCGATACACTTATGTTCTCATCATTATTGGTGCCATCGATAATGTCATTGACCACGTAATTAACTTGTTCATCCGTTTGACCTTTATATGCGGGCACTTTGCTTATTTGCTAAATTACCTGTGAAAGATACTGATTAAAGGAAAATGTAAAATATAATAATAACAAGTGGTAACTTACTTTAAGTAGATTTAATTTTAATTGCTGGTCACGTATTTCTATATTTTCTTTTACGCCTTCCCAATATTTCGCCCTTTCTTTATATTTCTTCTGATGAAGGGTTCACAATGTTATTTAAATGTTTTATTCAAGAAGAAACAAACATAACATATTACCTTCCAATCACCTTACTTCCTCTGGATGAGAACGTGCTCGGGACAAGGAAAGCCACTGAGAATCTTCTTCATTAGGTTATATTGGCTCAAAAGACTTTGTTGAGCCGTTTTAAAGTCTTGGAATCCTGCCGAAGTGAAGTAACCTTCCCCATTCCATTCCGAGGTTGGAGTGTTTGACCAAAAAGGTGAAAGTCTTTATTTATAATTTAAAATATCCGTTACGCTCTTGCTTCTGTCGCAAAGTCTTGACGGTCAGATATTCTGATTTGTTTTTTTTGTTCTCTGGGCGATGTATTTGATGACCATTACGCGTATTTAACCAATGAAAAAATCATGATAAGACGTAACACAATGGCTATCTTTTTACGTCATTACTATACTCTGTCACACGAAAAGACCTTCGAGCATATGCTATAGGAATGGCCTAGCCTTTATCCAACATTCTTGTTAGGTAGAGAGTTATCGGGGCAATTGGAATCGTTATTCTTAATTATAAGGCGGGATAGGCTCCGCCTTTAAGAATATCTGTTGCAAACCTCTGGCAACGCGGTTATTAGAATAGTCTAAAGGCGTTTTCACATAGACAATATACGATTTGTAAGTGATTCAATATGTGCGCGAAAAAAATTTGTGAAATTGGTATGTAAACATTTTATTTTTCTGCATCACGATGCTCACAAGCCCATTGTAAACGAAAATTTTAATAAATGATTTTTTCAGATACGTAGCGAATTAGAAAGATAATGCTATCAAAGAAAAGGGAGTACACGGATCATAGGCCATCTAATGCGAGTCAGCATCAAGTTATTTCTTTGCTCTCTCATTTATGTAGTATCTATAATTGATTATTACTCCTACTCACAGATTAACGAAGTTCCACAAGAGAAGTTTCCTGAGATTGAATAATTTCGAAATTACAACATAAATCGGAGATTAGCAACTGATGTAAAAGAGTAATGTAATATTACCGATTTACGCCAGTTAATTTATCCAAAGCCATAAAGGCTACGCGGATAAGATATGTTTTATTACAAGAACCATTATTTTGGCACTAGCATCTTTAATTTCTAAGTATTTAAATAATTCATTAAGTATTCCGCCGGCTTTAATACCGCTACCGGGAGGGGCGGGCTTTAAAAAAATTATAGTTGCTCCACTTTTCACTATCTCATTTTAGAATATTCAACCCGCCTTGAGTTTAAGAGATTTGACGCATATTTTTTTATTACTAGTGCGATACTGCGCCTATTATATGCGTGATGATAATAAAATATTTTCTCGGCAAAGATCAAAATAATGACATATAGCTAAAAGAGTAATATGTCCGGTTTGTTTTGGAACGTTTAAAGATGTGAAAACCGATTAACATCGTGATGACATGTTTCAAGAAGCTAGCTGAGCTTAACAATAAATCTAATATACAATAATTAATTATTTTATTAAAAAAATCAATCTATGTTTTTGAAAATTCTATTATGTAAATATCTTTAACAAATAAAGTATACTGGGCAAGGCCTAGCTAGTGTTATAAAAAAAAATTCGATTATTAAAAATAAACTAAAAAATAGCTCAATAAAAATCTGTTTAATTTTTTTTTAAACCATCAATAAATTAAAATTAAATTTTTATTTTTGATAAAGTCCATTTTATTTTTATCTTATGAAAACCTTGACTCTTATTTCAAAAAAAAAAATGGTTTGTTTTTTCAAAATCTTAAAAATTTCTTTTTATTAAATAAATATGTACAATATATACAGTATATTCAGTAGACTTCTAACTTCATACTTACCTTTGTAATGATTACAAAATATTTTTAAAACTTTTTAATACACACTTTGACTTTTCATGATCAAAAAAATCATTTATAACTACTTATCAACTTTCGAACTGTTTCTTTTTTTTCTTTAATTCAAAAGCAAATACTTATATTTTATAGAACTAATTATTTTACTTGGAAAAATATATTTTTTAAATTTTTTATCCAAGGATTTTTTTTAAAAACAGAATTTTTTTTATCAAGCGATGTGAATGCGATTCCTGAACTTGTTTCGACATCACTTTATCTAAGCATGCAATGTATACTACAAATTTATTTTTCCGGAAAGTCTAATGTCCTTTATATGGAATAACTGCGAATTTTTTATTGTAAATTAAGGAGTATCTGATGAGTGCAAAAATATTTTATATTCCAAGATCGATACAATAAATTATATAAGGTAATGTCCATCTTTTTATCTATTGCGCAAATACAGTAGTGGCAATAAAAACTGACAATTTTTTTTTTTTTAGAAATTGCGACATCAGATCTTTTTTTCTGTTAC